AATCTAGATCAATCCACAAAGACAAACTCAATCTTATTAGTTCCCTAGCTAGAAAGAAATGTGAATAGATATTTAGCATCTTGAAGCATCTCAGTCAGATATGTCAGTGGTTCCCAACAGTTGAACCACTGCTATCTAAAAAAAGGTTCATAAAGAGTTCACGGTGGAAAAAAAGTTCACAGGAACACTGTGGTTGTAGTTCAGAAGAACTACAGAAAGTTTTAGGTTTTGATAAATAAAACTGTCTTGGAAAGGCTTTGTTATAAGCTCTGCCATATTCAAGGGGCCATCAGGAAATCAGTCCTGAAAACCGTGTCCTGCCTTTCCCTGCAGATCTGCTCTGCTGGAAGATGCTGGCAGCCAATGTGCAGAATCAATGCAGCTGATTTCAGGCATAAAAACAGCCAGTCTGATCTCCACTCAGTGCAAAGTTTTAAACATATTTTGTCAACAACTTTCAGTTTCTTGTTTCTTTCTCTTGTGTGTTTAACAATGAAGGCAGGTAGCAAGGAGACTGTGAAAGCAGTTACTCTGACTCAGAGTAACTCATGATAATTCATGAAAATTCTCACTGGGGTCTGGACTTAAAAAAAAAAAATTAACTCTCTTGAAATGGTTGAAACTTTACCAATTTTAATACAGACCAGGATTCCTGTTTATGTTTTTCTCTCCAATGGCATATGTTACTTAGGGTCCCTAAAGCTGATTACACAACAAATGTGCAGTCAACCTGCTGATTCAGTTTGATGTCCTTTGTCTGTTTTCCTAAGTATCACCCACATCTAGAAGGTTATGTATTATTGTATCCTTAATCTGATAAACACACACACTCTTGTCTATAACAACAGCCTTGATTCTATTATTACTTCAAAGTGAACTTGGAAAAGTCACTCTACTAGTATATTTCTCAGAACCTTTCTGTAACACCCCACCATTAACACTCATTAAATTCATACAAACATTTTAAGATGAAAGGAAAAATATTATTTCTGAACTTCAGAGATTAGCCTAATGTGTAACACGTTACACTCCAGAGTTTTTCCAATCACATCAGCCTCAGTGATATGATTAAATCTAAGTATGTTCTCCACAAAGTTAATTGTTAGACCCACAAGAGGAGCTGTGCAAAGAATGGACCACCTGACATGCTACTTGTGGAACAGTATATTAAAGAAGCCTGTTAACATGTAGTTTAAAACTCAAAAGAAACTCTGAACAGCTGAAATGCCTTATAAATAGCGCAGACCCAGAGGAAGTGCAAACGTCTGCATTGTGAATTGTAGATCTTAATTACCGACAATGGCTGGTACAGCAAGTAGCACGGAAAAAAAGTGAAACAGTTGCACTGTTCATGGTTGGCAATAATTCTTCAGGAAAATATTTACTATCAATCAGTTATGAGAAAAGGGACTCTGTGCTCGTAAAACAGCACGTTGCTTCTCATACCAGGACCATTTTGCTTCAGCATAATCTGAATTTAAACAGCTTGTTTCCTGCGGATATAATTTTGGAAATAAATAAAACAAGTCTTCTATCAAAATCTGGAGTGAGTGGAAAGGAACATCACATTTTTCTGTCTCAGTCAGTTGCAAACAGATTATTAGTCTCAAGTAAAAAACAGTAACAACAAACAAACTACTACTATAATACAGAACATCTACAAAGGACTACGTAAGTAGTTTATTTTCCAAATATATAGGCAATACTTATTCCCACCTGGACAGGAATCTAGGTAGATATGTTCAAACAACTCAATTTTAACTGTGTGTGTGTGTAAGGGTAAATTAGGGAAAAACCTGAAACCAAACTTTTCAGTAATATTTAAATAATGTCAATTAAAAATAACAAAGAATTAATACTCTTCATTTCCCATTAGTTTTCTTTACCAATTAAAAAAATCATGAAGGTTGACTATTAGGTACAATGTAATTATTGATTTTAAAGATTAAGTTGACAGTCAATAATGACTGTCCATTTAAATCTACAATAAATACAAAGCTCATCATGTTTTGAACATAAATTTCATGAAATACAGGGCTATAATTAATAAGAAGGAAAGCTTTGGGAGAAAATAAAAGACATTTCAGTACTTCCAAATATTACTTGGATTAAGTTATGATGATAAAATGACCCCCCCTCCATTTTAATTTTTATATCTTTTTTTTAGGCCTCACTCTTCAAGATGGAGATTCAGAAGATTATTATTAACTTAGGGTGGCTGTAGTTTGTCTTACAACTTTGTTTTCTTGTATTCAAAAGAAGACTAATGGATCCCTTTGCATAGGCCTATTGTAAAACATTTATTGTAAGATATTTCTGGCAATGAAGAGTCACATACAATGTAGCTGTAGGGGTCCCAACATAATAACATTGCTACTTTTGAGGGAATAACTGGCATTAAAAATTTTCTCTTAAAACGCATATAAACAGTACTCAATAGTAAGGTTTTATACTTTATTATCTCCACCCAAACAAAAGTCACTCCAACCAAAATTGACTGCTTTGAACTAGAGCCAAAAATAGTTGATATCACTATATTATAGTTGCTCCCACATGGAGATGGCTGGACATTCCAGGCTACTGTGGAGTACAATCTGAATCATTAATAGACACTCGTACCAAGTTAAAAACCACTGCAGCCATATCAACAGTAGCAGATGAAACTATTCAGTTAAGGGCTAAAGGTGAAGACCAGGAAATAGAGACAAGCTTGCAGACCTACAAAGATACTAGCAAGTCATTGCCTTCCAAAGGTCAGGCAATAAATGAGGCCAACAGAAACAGCACAGGATCATGAGATACACTAACATATGTAAATGAAAAAGGGAAAATTATTTCCCTATTCCCATGTTATTGGTACCTCAATGAAGGCTGTTGCAGGAAAGAAAAATTCAGCTACATGCTTTTTATTTGCCATTGATCAACTGTTTATTTGGCTCCACTCTGAAAAAATTAACCAGAAGATAGGACATGGGCCAATAAAAGGAACTAGAAAGTTTGGTGGGTTCCAACAGAAAATGACAGAAATCACTATTAAATTAGGGTATTTAAGAAATCAAGGAAAGGATATAGATGTCAGAATAATGTTACAATAAGCAAGAATGGGATGAGAGGGTCACCATCTGGGAGTAAAGGAAACAGAATGATCAGCAGCAATGAGCAAACTTATCTCCTCACCCAAGAGCATAGAAGAAATTATACCATTGCGCCAGATGCCAGAAGATTTCTAACCATGCACCGCAGAAGTAGAGGGTGGGAGAGGGAAAAAGAAAACAAAACCACCACATCATACAGACACACACCAACATAACTACGTAGCTTAGAGATCCTGGCTTACAAAGTATGGAGAAAACAAAAGGAACAGATGCTCACTTGGCCAGCTCTCAATGAAACTCATTAAAATCGTCACCCTGTCCTTGGATATGTGCTCATGTTAAGATTTTACCTTGTTTAGCCAGAAGTCACCCAGTTGTGATGAAACTGAGAGCAGTATGGCTGAAAAGGAGACATTATTTTTGAAGGCCAAATAATTGGTCCCCCATCTCAATGTACAAATGCTGGATATAAAATGGGGTCAATCAGTACTTTCTGGTTGTAACTTAATGACTAAAAAATGAAGTATATATAATTTATAATATTCATATTTTACAGCAAATCATTAAGACATTCTAATTTGAGACACTTAAATGACTATCTTTTTTTAACTGTAATTTTTAATAAATTCTGACATTATATGGATCATTTCCATTGATTATATTTTCTGTGATATATCTTCAGTTGATAAAGCATGTCAAGAAACCACTGCATGTTTTAAGAAATGAAATAAAAATTAAAAAATTGCTGCTAATCTTGCCCTAGCTGGTGTGGCTCAGTGGACTGAGCACTGGCCTGCAAACCAAAGGGTCGCTGGTTTGATTCCCAGTGTAGGGCAGGCACATGCCTGGGTTACAGGCCAGGTCTCCAGTAGGGGGCGCATGAAAGGCAACCCCACATTGATGTCTCTCTCCCTCTTTCTCCCTCCCTTCCCTTCTCTAAAAAAATAAATTAAATAAAATCTAAACATAAGAGAAACAGGAATTAACTTTTAAAAAAATACTGCTGTCCTCTGATTTTTGTAGCAAAGGATGGAGACATGATACCAGCCCTGGCTCTAATAATAACAGTAAGTAATTGAGAGCCTAGGTGTATAATACAATAGATTAAACTTAAAGTAGTTAAGTAGGAAACATTGTAAATAACAGTGACAAAAAAGTTATTAAAGGCATTCATTCTGCAGATATGCAAAGGAAAACCTAGAAACAGAGCCCATACTGGAATTTTACTTATTTTTGGAATAATCAAAATGGCTAATACTTGAATTTAGGTCAAAGCTGCTGATTAATTTGAGATACTTAAAAAATTTGAGTCATAGTTGATATGATTATTAGATTGTAAGATCTCTTATATGTAAGGTTATTTTTTGTATCTAGGCTACAGATATGGCACAAATTTATACATAAGAAAGAGGTAGCTCATATGCATGATTTAAATATACTTATCCATTCAAATCAAGATTACCAAAAGGAATATTCCTATCATTAAGCCACTTAATAAACCACAATAGTGATATAATAATTTTATTTTCTATAACATATTTCATAATATTTGCAATGGTATACATTATACTTAATTACATTTAAAAACCATGAACAAACTTATAAAAATAATTGTATATTTTCTTACACAAATCTTACTTATTTGTGATAATCCATAACAAGTATCAAGCAACAAAGGTGATTTAGACTAAAGTGTAACCAGAATACATAATTGAAAAATTCTGTTGCAACTGAAGAGATAGAGAATCTAACCTGTGATCTAATTTTTGGATAAAATGATGGCTGCTATATTCTTTTTTAAATATAAAATCCTGAAGAGTCTTTAACAGCAATAGTGAGTGAAGATGTTTCTAGATAAGGAATTGTTATGATGTGGTATAATATACATTGAGTAATATGACTTACTTTGGCCACACAATTTTCAGTCTTCATAGCAGTGCTTGCTAGACATACTGTTTCTTGGTTTAAGCAGATTCTGGCACAGCTGTTATAAGTCTGTAAGAGAATTTTTTGGAAACAGGCTTAAATATCAAAATACTATCATATACAGTTTTCAAATTCTGCCCTATTTCTCAAAATCAACACACAAATAGATCCTATATGTAAATTCCAGTGTTATGAGTACTGAAGGCCAAGGTAGACAGCAGAAAGCAAAGAAAGTAAAAGCCCACAAACACCACTGCTGTGCTTGTGAACAAGTATAGGAGCAGCAGCGATTCACTGAATGTAAGGAAGGTGGGGGTGTTAATTACTCAAAAATGGACAAAGGACTATACAAATGGCCAAACAAGCACATGAAAAGCTGGTCAACATCACTAATAATTAGACAATATGAATCAAAACTTGTAAGGTACCACTTCACACCTGTTAGGATGAGTATTAGTAAAAACAGTAGGAACAACAAAAACCAGAATATACATGTTGGTGAGGATATGGAGAAACTGGAACCCTTGCGCACAGTCAGTGGAAATGTAAAATGGTAAAGCCATTGTGGAAAACAATGGCGGTAGTTAAACAACTAAAAATAGAATTAATCACATGACCCAACAATTCTACTTCTGGGTATATACCTCAAAGAACTGAAAACAGTCCTGAAGATACACTTGTGTATTGTGTATCATAGAAGCTGATACATAGTCCTGAAGATATACTTGTATATTGTGTAACATAGAAGCTAAATGTGGAAGCAACCCAAGTGTTCATTGATGGGGTACAGGATAAGCAAAATGTAGCAAATACACACATGGAATATTATTCTGCCTTAAAAAGGAAGGGAAATTGTGACATATACTACAACATAAATGAACTTTGAGGATATTATGCTAAGTGAAATAAGCCTGTCATGAAAGATAAATACTGTATGATTCCACTTATATATTTAGAGTAGTTAAAAGCATAGGGACAGAAGTAGAATAGCAGTTGCCAGGAACTGGGAGAAGGGGAGAATGGGAAGTTATTGTTTAGCAGGTAACAGAGTTTCCATTTCAAAAGGCGAAAAGAGTTACGGGGATACATGGTGGTGATGGTTACAAAACAATGTGAATATATTGTATTTAATAGCAATGAATTATACATTTTTAAACACAAACATGTTACATGTATTTTACCACAATTAAAAACAAAACTGGTTATACTTTATGGTAAGCAAATATTAACTGGCCAATATATTAATAAAAATGTTTCCCTTTAGTCTTAAGTTTTTATTGACGGTACAAAATCATGATCCTCAAACTTTAGCATTCATCGGAATCATCTGGAGGGTTTGTAAAAACACAGACTGCTAGGCCCCATCCCAGAGTTTATGAGAATTTGCATTTTCAACAAGTCCCCAGTTGATGTTGATGCTGCTAGTCTAGGAACACTCTTTGAGAATTAATGGTATAAATGTGTGTGCTGAACCTGAAAAGTCTGAAGACACAAGTGATTTCTTCAAACTAACAATAGGAAAAAAATTGATTAAAAAAATCTAGATATACAGAACAGTTGCAAAAATAGGTATGAGTTCCTATATATCCTTTCCCCAACTTTCCCTGATGTGAATGAATGTCTTACACAACTACAGAACCTTTATCAGAACTAAGGAATTAACGTGGTACAATATAAAGAACTTCAGTTTCCCCACTTTCCCCACTAATGAATGTCCTTTTTCTGTTAATCCAAGATCTCACATTGCATTCAACTGTCACGTCTCCTTAGTCTACTCTAATCTGTTAGAATTTCTCATCTTTCAGGGCTCTGTCACATTTGAAGAGTAATGATAAATTAATCTATGAAATGTCCCTCAATTTGGGTTTGTCTCATGTTTTCTCATGATCAAATTGAGGTTATTCATTACTAGGAAAGATAATGCAGAGGTGATGTGCCTGTCTCAATGTATCAAGTCAGGAGGTGTGCTGAGGAATATTTCTGGTGATTTTAATCTTGATCACTTACCTAACATTGTATCTGCCAAGATTCTCAATTATAAGCTTATTACTTCTTCCTTTAGGAATTATTAAATATTGGGGGAAATACTTTGAGACTATGAAAATATTCTTTCTCTGCTTCAGCTCTGCCCACTAGTTTTAGCATCTATTGCTGGATCTTGCCTATGGTAGTATTTACTGTGGCGTTCTATCAGTCATTTTTAAATTTCTCCGTTTTCTTTTACATTTATTAACTTGAATTTTTCTGTAAGGAAGACCTATGACATCTTTGCCAATTTACTTATTTATTCATTTATTTATATCAACAATGGTTGCATATACTTTAAATAATTCATTTTTGGTCAATTACCATTCTTTGGAAACAATAGGTAGACAAAAATAAAATTTAAAAAACAAAAAAAGATATTCTAAAATTGGTTTTCCATTTATACAAGTTAAACTTTTAAAAATAAACCCACATAACTTTTATTCTTGATATCAAGTTGAATCACTTGATATTAGTGTAGAGAATTGCTGGTATATTTATATTCTGGGCTCAGGGTTCAGTACTTCCTTTGCAACAACTAATATCATGTTTACTATTCATGTACAGACAACACACAATTTTTTAAAACTAAATTTACTGTGTTTTTAAAAGACATTTATGCAATAATTGGTATATACTGAACAAAAAACTTTAAGCCAAAGAATTCAAGTTCCAATAATGGTAGAAATGTTTGCATTAAATTAACCTCTTTGAGATAAAATTATAAAACATAGAAAAAAGATTTTTTTTTTTTAGCAAAAGTATCCTTACCTGAGGATATGTTTACTGATTTTATAGAGACAGGAAGGGTGAGAGACATCAATGTAAGAGACAAACATTGACTGGTTGCCTCCTCTACAGGCCCCAAGTGGGAATCGAACCCTCAACCTTTTGGTGTACAGGATGATGCTCCAACCAACTGAGCCACCCAGCCAGGGCCATGGAAAAAGATTTTGAAATAACTACTTAAAGACAAGAGATTGACCCTAAAGTAGGTTTAAGAAACTAGGGGGTAAAATTGATTGACTTTGAAAGAGGATAACCACTCTGGGTAAGGTCCATGTTTATGTGCTTTTCCCCTAAGGGTACTACTCACCAATCTACTTGGTACAGGGTGACTAAAATTCAATTAGAAAGCCACAGTCTATTGGCTTGAGATGTCAGAAGATAGAGCTCAGGGCTACCATACTGGCTGGAAATTGAGAAGAGAAATCACAGAAAATAGAAAAAGCCATGGGGGAGGGAAAAAGCTTCAAAACACGCATATAAATTTCCCTCAAATCCACGGCTAATGCCCAAGCTACATACACGAGTGGGAGACTCAAAGGGTTCCAATGGAAAGTAACAGTTGCAAGACTAAAAGATATGAGCAGAGATTCTAGCTGTCCCCTGGAGAGGAGATACAGTTTATAATTTGATTCCTACTAAGTTAGAAGGGCTTAATAAGCACCTCAAACTTTCCACTGAAAACTTGGAAAGCCTCTGCATAAAAAAATGAGTCTTAGGATTAAGGGCAAAATCAAAACACACTTGCTCTAATGGATGCAAAACCAGATTCTATGAAGTCAGAATTATCAGCCAGAAAATTAATCAGTGGGAGATAAAAGAGTCCAGTCTCTGCTATGTGTCGCTTGTAATGCCCACTATATAATAATTTTAAAAACGTGTATACAGAAGAAGCAGATAAATGGGACCTGTAGTCAAGAAAAAAAAGGAACAGAATGTGACCATGAGAGAATCCAGTTGTAGGAATTAGCACAGCACGGCTCTACAGAAGCTAGAACAAATATGTTCAACAACTTAAATGAAAAACATGGTCACAATAGAAATTCTGAGGTGAAAATTTTCACCAGAAAAATAAAAACCTAAAATGAACCAAACAGAAATTCTAGAATTAAAAAGTACAGTATCTGAAATTAAAAAATTACTGGGTGGTCTTAAAAGCAGATTAGAGATGGCAGAAGAAAAGGTCTGTGAAATTTAAAGACAGATCAATTAACATGCTCTAAACTGAAGAACAGATAGAGAAGAAGAAAAAAACAAACAATCTCAATCATCTGTGGGACAATTTTCAATGATCTAAACATATGTTTACTTGGAGACACCAAAATATAAAAATAGTGGCTAAATATTTCTCTAATTTGGTGAAAATCACTGGCTTACTGATCTAAGATCAGCAAACTATAGGGAGATTAAATACAAAGAAAACAAAACTTAGGTCCAACACAGTAAAAACTGCGGAAAACAACAAAGACAAAATCTTGAAGCAGCCAAAATAAAAAATGATTCTGCAACAATATAAATAGTGGCAGAATTTTTACCAAAACAAGGAGGGCTAGAAGATGAGGGAACATTTTTAAAGTGCCGAAAGGAAAAACACCAGGTTTCTTACTATTAGGAAAAATTATTACAAATATGAAAACAGAGAAATCTAGAGCAGACTGTGGTACTGGATTAGAACTAGAGGTATTAATGTGAACATTTGTGGCTTTCAAAAATAAAAATGTAGATATAAAATATAAGTTAATATTTATATCTTGGCTTCTCAATACCATTCTGCACTAAAAGGAACCATAGCTCCCTGGAGAAATGGCTGATCCCAGGATTGAACAAGGAAAATACACAGTAGGCCTGGAAATATTCAAGGAATGAGATGTCAAAGGGGCACTCAATTATCCCATATGGAATAACCAGAATATTAAAATAAAAGATATTAACAGAATGCAATGTGTTACACATTTCTTAAAAGATACAAGTTACTCAAACTAACATAACAAGAAACAAAACCTGAATAGCTCTATATCTATTACAGAAATAGAGACTATTATTAAAAATCATTCTGCATAAATTTAAAAATATTTCAATTCTTTCTACCACACACACACCAAAAAAATAAAAATAAAAACAAAACAAAACAAACAAACAAAAACCTTTCTGGCCCAGATGGTTCCACTGGTGAATTATATTAAGTTTTAAGAATGAAACAACACCAAGGTCATACACAAACACTTTTATTTTTATTTTATTTTGTTTGTTTTTTTAGA